GGGTATTCACGTTACTAAAATCTACACATATGTACCGGGTTGTCAGAAAAGTCATGACGCATTTTGCATAGAAAACATATAAAAACAGCCATGACTTCCAACAACTCAATAGCTTAAAGGTTCAAATCGCTCTGTAAGATTTTTTTTTTTTTTGAGAGGTTTTTGCGTGTGCTCACCAGAGAGACAGACAGAGACAGACAGAAAGCGAGAAATCACCCCCCAGGGGGAATGGCCACACTATAATCCCTTCGCCTCTATTCTCCTCTTGGGGTCTTGGGCATGCACGCACAGGCACTCAAGGTGAGGTGTAAGCCAACAGGTCCGGGACTCGAACTGCCGTCAGCTACATGGCAGTCCAATGATATAACCATTACGCCATCTGCTGGTCCCAGATTCTTTTTTTAAATAGTAAAATCGTAACTTAAACCGCCCCCCTCCGTACTGCCTTCCTTAAAAGCAGCTGAGGACAGCCTGTCCCATTCAGGGAAACCGCACTCAAGGTGAGGTGTAAGCCAACAGGTCCGGGACTCGAACTGCCGTCAGCTACATGGCAGTCCAATGATATAACCATTACGCCATCTGCTGGTCCCAGATTCTTTTTTTAAATAGTAAAATCGTAACTTAAACCGCCCCCCTCCGTACTGCCTTCCTTAAAAGCAGCTGAGGACAGCCTGTCCCATTCAGGGAAACCCTGCCCAGTCTGTTTCCTTCTCATTCGCCCTGGTGCAAGTCAGGAGCCCACGGAGGTCTGGCCGGCCCGGCACGAGCCCCTTTCCCTGCAAGGTGGGTTAGGAGCCGGGGCTGGCCCCTGACAAGCGCCTGCCCACAGCATGAAGTGACTGAGCGCCTGCCGTGCAGTCTTTCTCCAAACCCGGCGGGGCATCGTGTTTCCTCCGGAAGCGAGGACCCTGCTCAGCGCCGTGACCTGCCACACTACCGCCCTCCCACAGCAACTGGATGGCATGGAGAGGGTGTGAGCGCGGTCTCAGAGAGCACGCAGCTGCTTCTGCCCAGCACAGCAGAGGGACGAGACACGCCAGTGCCTGCCTCCCTGTTCTCCCGAGCCCCCCACGGCGTGGGCACTGGCTTCCATGCCTGCAACATCCGGGCGGAGCGGCCGGCCAGGAGGAGAGCACAGGTGGGGTGCGGCCTACCTTGAGCATGTAATAGAAGGGGAACCAGGACAGGAAGAGGTCGGAGAAGAACTCGGCGATGCTGAACACCCCGTACACCACCCAGTAGGTCAGCCACTGGGTGTCGTCTTCCTTGTTGGGACTCTCGATGGCTTTGATCCTGAAAGGCAACGGGAAGGCTGTGTGAACATCGCTGAGAAGGCCTCGGTGGACACCCACTCCGTACTGGACAGCCTGTCCTCACGCCCCCAAGCTGGGCATACTTTCCACCTAGGGACCAGCAGACGGGGCGCCATATGGACAGTCAGGACCAGCACACAGGACGTCATATGGACAGTCGGGACCAGCACACAGGACGTCATATGGACGGTCGGGGCCAGCAGACGGGACGTCATATGGACAGTCGGGACCAGCAGACGGGACGTCATATGGACAGTCGGGACCAGCAGACGGGACGTCATATGGACAGTCGGGACCAGCAGACGGGACGTCATATGGACAGTCGGGACCAGCAGACGGGACGTCATATGGACAGTCGGGACCAGCAGACGGGACGTCATATGGACAGTCGGGACCAGCAGACGGGACGTCATATGGACAGTCGGGACCAGCAGACGGGACGTCATATGGACAGTCGGGACCAGCAGACGGGACGTCATATGGACAGTCGGGACCAGCAGACGGGACGTCATATGGACAGTCGGGACCAGCAGACGGGACGTCATATGGACAGTCGGGACCAGCAGACGGGACGTCATATGGACAGTCGGGACCAGCAGACGGGACGTCATATGGACAGTCGGGACCAGCAGACGGGACGTCATATGGACAGTCGGGACCAGCAGACGGGACGTCATATGGACAGTCGGGACCAGCAGACGGGACGTCATATGGACAGTCGGGACCAGCAGACGGGACGTCATATGGACAGTCGGGACCAGCAGACGGGACGTCATATGGACGGTCGGGACCAGCACACAGGACGTCATATGGACAGTCGGGACCAGCAGACGGGGCGTCATATGGACAGTCGGGACCAGCAGACGGGACGTCATATGGACGGTCGGGACCAGCAGACGGGACGTCATATGGACAGTCAGGACCAGCAGACGGGGCGCCATATGGACGGTCGGGGCCAGCAGACGGGACGTCATATGGACAGTCAGGACCAGCAGACGGG